AGCTTTCTAGGATTAAACATTATTTGGATAATTGGTAAAAAAAAAAATGAAATCTCTTGATAGCCCTACTGTGTGTTAGACCTACCCGAAAAACTAAAAAGCAATTTATTTCATTTGTAGACCTATCGTGATTTTTTTTATTTGTGCTATCATTAGTAATTTCTTTATTTGTTCTTATTTTATTATTAACTGCTTAGCCTCAGAAGATAGTTGTAGCCGTAGATGTAGATGTAGGCAAGGATAACCTGTTTTTTTTTGTGAAGGGTAAAGTTCTGCAGTTGGTGTGTTGTAAATCACAAGTAACCATTTACTGATTCACATTAAACATTCCATATAGTTTTGAAAAAAAAGTTTTCATTTTTCCACTTCTTTTTTCCTCATTCCGTTACACTACGTAAGATTAAATATTATGTTTATGAATATTTCTGTCTTATATATCTATAAATAGATTATTTCTCGGGCTGCAAAGACTAAGCGATAATAATCCGCAATGAAAATTCATAATGGGTTACTTGCAAACGGGGAACTTTCATCAGTGAGGTTACAGTACTGAAAACCTTGTGGGCAGAGGCGTAGCAATAGGGCAGGCAGTTGCCTGCGACCCCGCATTTTGAGGGGGCCCCGACAACTGACCATTTGAACAATTGGAAATGTCATTATTAATATAACATGGAGCAATATATGTGCATCCACCCTAGGGGGCTCCCCTCTCGCGTTACGCTGGATGTGCTTGCTTTTTCCTCGTGATGCGTCGGCCGCCGTTTTCAAACTGGCACAGCGCTTACTCGTGCATTTGCCCATTTAAACATGAAGAGGACTTCTCCGTCTGGCAGCAAGAAGAGGAGGAAAAGAGGAAACATGACCGCGGTAAATGATAGAGATAAGACTGACCAAAGGATATGACAAACAAATGTTTTCGTTGTTCCAGCTTATTGTCGTTAAATTATTTGCATGATGAATTATTTGCCTATAGTGTTTCAGGAATGGCAAATGCGAGTGTAAAACATTACGCTAGTGAATCCGCGCAATTGATCCACGATTGACGGTGATAATAATATCCGTTTCTAATGTCGCCAATAATTAGAGATGCACTGAAATTTCGGCTGCCAAAAATTAGTTCACCACTCAGGTTTCACTTTCATGGGGTGTGAAGCTCTGCGCATTATCCCGCTCTATGTGTGTGCGCTCCACTCAGCTCCACTCATACGTTCATGCTCTTCGGAACAGCAAAGTCCACTCAAAAATCGAGCTGACAGGAAACATCGATGTAGTACAGTATTGTTTCTGTCTGCAATAGCCCTACTGTGTTGTAACATGGTGTGGTAAATGGGCAACTCTGGTAACGCTGCCCTCTCATTCATTGATCTGCTAACCGTTATGCTCCTGTCCTCTGATGATAATAATAGCTTTCTAGGATTAAACATTATTTGGATAATTGGTAAAAAAAATAAAAAAATCTCTTGATAGCCCTACTGTGTGTTAGACCTACCCGAAAAACTAAAAAGCAATTTATTTCATTTGTAGACCTATCGTGATTTTTTTTATTTGTGCTATCATTAGTAATTTCTTTATATGTTCTTATTTTATTATTAACTGTTTAGCCTCCTTGTCATTTTTTTATTCAATTCAAAGCTTTAAATCAAGCTATCTTGTGCTACTGCAACACAATTACCCCACTGTAAAATCTAAAATACACTGAGTGAGCAAAACTTTGTTTAATTACCATTATAACTAGCTATCTCACAAGGGTTAAATAGAATTGCATTTCTAAAAAGATACATATAGATAAAATACAATTTTCATTGACTAAAACTAGACTAAAATGTCATCAGTTTTCGTCGACTAAAACTAGACGAAAATAGTCATGGATAATTCTGACTAAAATAAGACAAAAATTCTCAGACTTTTAGTTGACTAAAACTTGACTAGACTAAAAAGAGTAAGAACGTGACTAAAACTAATAAAAACTAAAATGACAGCTTCACACAAAGACTAGACTAAAACTAAAATTAAAACAGGCTGCCAAAAACAACACTAGTTGTATGTTGTATAAATATATATCTAGGTAACGAAGATATATTAACAAAATAATCTTTTAGAAGGGCCTGATCTATTAATTTTGCCAGGGGCCCCCACTTCATCTTGGTTCGCCTCTGCTTATGGGCATATTGTTGTTTCAGATGTTTGATAGATTTCTTGTGGTGTTTAATGCGATTATTTCCCCCAACTTGATTTACAATTTACCCTTATATTCTTGTCTGTAATAGTCAAAATTGCCGCTATAGTGTTTTAAAGCCTCGTTCCGACAGGAGATGCAGTTCAAAGTCCAACAAAGAACTGGAGCTAGATCATTTTAAAACGTTCAGGATATTAAAAATTATATTTTAGAAGACTGATTAAAAAGTTTAAGCGTAAATTAAACATGATATATTATGAGATCAGTAAAGGATTTATAACAAAACCAATACATACATGTTTGTTTGGACCTACATGGAAGTTTCTGCACAGCCTCCTTGACGGCATCTCTGAATTCACTCAGCATTTCGCTGGCCTGAATGGTCTTGTCTTCATTTAGGAATCTGTGCAGAGCATGTTTATTCGGATGTCGTTTCAATGCAACACTAAAATGCTCCGGCCAAATCAAACTTTTGAATGTCCACTCGCTCCACAGGAATACTCCGCATCACATCAAATTCATCTGGTTCACAAATCTAAAATGTGACAAAGCGGATGTTAGTTGTTTTAAACTAAAGCTCTTTTATGAGCTTTGGCATGGTGATTAGAAATGTCATAATCCTATATAACATTCCTACATACACGTATCCGAACATGAACATTCTTTTACTTCTACTTTTACTTACTTTATATGTTGTAATTTTGAACAATGATTTATTTAACTCGGTAGTTCAGAGCCGTATCCTGAAAAATAAAAGTGTGCAATGATACAGGCCAGAAAACGCTTGAATTTTCACAAATGCCTGTTTCTAAAGTTCGGTAAAGTTGGAAAGATATTCACAGATTCGACGTTTCCGGATCAATAAATCACGAGCAAAACGTTTTTACTACAGAATTGACGTCTCTTTTCTTTCGTAGTGATGTAGAAAACGAGCTACGAAAGAAAAGAGGTGTCAATTCTGTAGTAAAAATGTTTTGCTCGTGATTTATCGATCCGGAAAAGTCGAATCAGTGAATATCTTTCCAACTTTACCGAACTTGTATCTAATATCACCGAGTATTATCTTTATTTGGACATGCTCTGATGTAAATCAATGTTCTGTTATGAATATTGTGAAGAAAGTGTTTACATGTCCTGGCAATCTGATTAATACAGAATCATGAGTGACGTCACACTGCATCACTTACTTTGACATTTTCATAATAACTTCCAGTTCGTAACCTCTCGATATCTTTACACCAGTTCACGTTTTGTTTCAGGTGTGTAACGACTTTAGCCGTGATGTTATTAACACAACTGGATGCATTAGACCGCTCGCTCTTCTTGATCTTTAATTTGTCAATAGTTGCCATAAGAAGCTTTCCCAGTGTGTCGTCGATGCTTAGCCCTCTCATTGCAGTTGCTTTTTCTGCGCAATTCTTTTGGCGATCAGAGCTGAATGTGGGTAACCAAACCGTTGCTAGTCGCCACTATTTCTTCAATTAAATGGTGAAAAAAAATATGGTCAAAACAATATAAGTCAGTGAGGACCAGTAACTGTTTGGTTACCTACGTTCTTCAAAATGTTTTCTTATGTGTTCAGCAGAAGAAAGAAATGTATATATGTTTAGAACAAATTGAGGCAGAATTTTAATTTGTGTGTTCAGTAAACTCTGTCTTTCTTTATGGGCAATAATGGTGACATGTCTTTGTTCACCCAGGTGACAAAAAGTACACTTCCATAATGTACTTAAAGTGCTCTATTTTCGCGTACTAGTTTTGTACTTAATATATTAATAATTAGTCTTTAGTACTTCTTAAGAAAATCTTAAGTGTACTAAAGCGTGCTATTTTGAGACACCATGTATATCAACTAAAATGTGGTTTTAACATACTATCTCTGTATTTAAAAATGTATTTAGTTACCACTTGTAGTACACTTGAACCTATCTTTGTATGAAAGATGGGTTCAAGTGGTACCTAAATTAATTTTTTTAATAAATCTTTGGCACATTTTAGTTCATATTCATGGTGTCCCAAAATAGCACAGTTGAGTACATTTAGATGTTCTTAAGATTATTTTAAGTACTAAAGAAGAATTTTGAGTATATTAAGTAGTGGGCGAGAATAGAGCACTTTAAGTACATTATGGAAGTGTACTTTTTTTCACCAGGGCAGTACAGTACACACTGATTTGACTTTGAAAAATAAATCTACCCTGAGAAATATTAAGTGGAGTAAAACGTCTCCCCTCTAGTGTTTGTGCAGAACAGGAAAAGCTTTTAAACAGTGAAAAGGGAAAGCTAATATAGGAGTGAGATTTATATTTCAAAGCATCTCAGTGCTATTGTAAACTCTTGTTTAAATCTGTTCTGAAAACGTGGATAATATTTCTTATTAATTAGGCCAGCTATTGACTAATATAATAACAGATCTACTTATATTACTACTACCGATAAGATGCTAATTAATCGTTTTAGAAATGCATCACTTGCGACATCTTGTGGCAATTTATCCAGCACACCAAGGAAACATGTATTTGAGCTGTGTATGCTTTAAATTGTGAATAAATGGACATGAGGGTAAATCTCATTATTTGAAAACTCTTGTGTCTATAAGAAGACTAAGACCTAAGACTACACTGTGTAAAAGACCAAGACTTTGTTCATAAATGGTTTGAAAGATAGCAAATTTTGATCTATTTTGTTTTTAGTCTGTTTTTTTTTGGACTTTGTCATAACTTTAGTTGAAGTCTAAGCTCACAATACAGTACTGAAGATTCTTAAATACAAAGGTAAATGATCAAACACACTGTTTGGGAGTGAAATGAACACACAAACAATTATTATGGTTGAGACATCTTTAATATGACATGAAAGCTTTTATTTTTTTATAATAAGGTGCAGTAGTTAATGCCAATTAAAGTCAACAAGTGCTTGTGCAGGGTTAGCCTACGCCAGTCAAAGTGCTAAACATAAAGCTGTCAGTGCACCAAAGATTGCGTGAGCCCAGACATGGGCTGATTAAGAGCTTCATTTTAGGTTTTCATTGTGTTGCAAAGCTAAACATAAAGGTTCTCAATTTTTTCTAAATAGTGGCATTTAAGTAGCTCACCACCAGTGGATACTGAACACATGGTATTTTGCAAACAAGCACTAAAACAAGCGAAGACAACATTATGAGAACCAGGCTAAAACTGCACTCCAGAGCAGGAGAGGTCAAACCTCTCAAGATTAAAAAAAAAATCACATATGGTTTCAACAGCTATCTTCGAAGAGAAGAGCACAACTATTAAAAACACTATTAAATGAGTTCAATGGTGGGCATTTAAGACTTACAGTACGTCAACATACAAATTAGTGTTATCTAAATGACTGCTTTTGTTAGTAATTTTTTTTCCTTCTGATACTTTTGCGATGCATTGGAACTATTAAGCAGTCTCTGACTATGGAACCTAAGCAGCCAATAGGATAGAAGAGCTGGATGACCTCTGCTTTTCCATATGTGTCTCTGGAGTTGGCAGTCAAACACAACATTCATTTGGCCTTCTGGGCTTTCTGAGCAGATTTGGTGATCTTTCCGCTAGTCTGTGTCTTTTTCTCCACTCCTTTAATCACTCCCACTGCAACGGTCTGACGCATGTCACGCACAGCAAAACGACCTGCAAACCAAAAATAATCCAAGCAGGTCATATGTGTTCATTATCCCTGTCATCCTAAAACTGATTCTGAAAAGAATACCTACTGGAATAGTTGTACTATGGCTTTAATAAGAAAAGTTGGTATGAAATAAAAATGTATCTATTTGTAAAAATCTATGCTTATGATTCATCTGTGCATGTTTAAGTTATTTTTTTAAATCAAAATGTTAACTTGATCTTCCGAAAAGACAGACTTCTCTGTATGTGGACTTCTCCAGACTTCTCCAATCCATTTAATTCGGATGTAAAGAAGAAATAACCCATCACTACGACACTACCTCAGTTTCAATGCAACATTGCAAAAAGGATAGCTAACCCAAAATATGTTTTTGTCCATATGTAACCCTGAACCACAAATCCAGTGATAAGGGTCAATTTAGCAAAATTGAGATTTATACATCAACTGAAGGCTGAATAAATAAGCTTTTCACTGATGTATGGTTTGTTAGTATAGGACAATATTTGGCCGAGATACAACTATTTGAAAATATGTAATCTGAGGGTACAAAAAAAATCGAAATATTGAGAAAATCGCCTTTAAAGTTGTCCAAATTAAGTTCTTAGCAATGCATATTGCTAATCAAAAATTAAGTTTTGATATATTTATGGTAGGACATTTACAAAATATCTTCATGGAACATGATCTTTACTTAAAATCCTAATGATTTTTGGCATAAAACAAAAATCGATAATTTTGACCCATACAATGTTTTTTTGGCTATTGCTACAAATATACCCCAGCGATTTAAGACTGGTTTTGTAGTCCAGGGTCACATATAATGAAATTGAATGGGGTCCAAGTTTTAATGGGTTCCAAAATTGGTTTGGAAGTAAATGATAGAATCCGAATAAAACATCAGTTATCAACTTGGTATCATTAAATCAGTGATCAATTTTTTTTCTTCATTTTAATTGTTTGGTATTGATTTCAGAAATATGTAAAAGAGGAATGATACTCTTATCAAGAGGAAAAAATACATATATAATGAATTTAACCAGTTACCTTAACTTGAATTTTTTAAAAATCAGCAATGAAGGGATGAATCAGCTCTTGGGATGGGATGTTGCAATAGCACCTACCCAGAGGAGGATACTCTGAAAAGCTCTCCACACACATGGGCTTCCCAGGGATCATGTCGACGATGGCCGCATCTCCTGACTTGAGGCTCTTGGGGTTGTCCTCAAGCTTTTTCCCAGAACGACGATCGATCTTCTCCTTCAGCTCTGCAAACTTGCAAGCGATGTGTGCAGTGTGGCAATCCAGAACAGGGGCGTAGCCAGCGCTGATTTGCCCTGGGTGGTTCAAGATGATCACCTGATGGGAAAGAATGAATCTTGTAATGACTGCGCAGGTTTGTTGAAGTGAGTAGTGAGAATTGAAGTTAATTTAGCTCACTTGAGCAGTGAAGATGGCGGCCTCTTGGGGTGGGTCGTTTTTGCTGTCTCCAGCGACGTTGCCACGGCGGATGTCCTTGACAGAGACATTTTTTACATTAAAGCCAACGTTGTCCCCGGGCAAGGCCTCAGAAAGAGCCTCGTGATGCATTTCCACAGACTTGACTTCAGTTGTCACGTTGACAGGGGCAAAGGTCACCACCATACCTGGCTTCAAAATTCCAGTCTCCACACGGCCCACAGGGACAGTTCCAATACCTAGTGAATACAATGCATTTAATTCAGCTCTGCTCTATCTTTTAACTTAAAACTATGGCAAAAACAGGTAAAATGTATTCTATTTGTAGACCATCTGCAATATAGTTTGCTTGTATGAATTCAAACCGCCAATCTTGTAGACGTCCTGAAGAGGCAGGCGGGGGGCTTTGTCAGTTGGACGTGTTGGAGGCTGAATGGCATCCAGAGCCTCCAATAGGGGGGTCCCAGATCCATTTCCCTCTTTCCGGGTAATCTTCCAACCCTTGAACCAAGTCATCTAAAGTAAAGACAAAGAAACCTAATGAAGATGCTGGTTGGAACCAATCTGCTGGGATGCCATTTTGCACAAATATAAATTATTCATTTTCACTGAAGAATTTTGTAACGCTCCATACTGGCACATGGAAACGTATAGGGCTGCATGATGCATTTCCACAGACTTGACTTCAGTTGTCACGTTGACAGGGGCAAAGGTCACCACCATACCTGGCTTCAAAATTCCAGTCTCCACACGGCCCACAGGGACAGTTCCAATACCTAGTGAATACAATGCATTTAATTCAGCTCTGCTTTATCTTTTAACTTAAATCTAAGGCAAAAACAGGTAAAATGTATTCTATTTGTAGACCATCTGCAATATAGTTTGCTTGTATAAATTCAAACCGCCAATCTTGTAGACGTCCTGAAGAGGCAGGCGGAGCGCTTTGTCAGTTGGACGTGTTGGAGGCTGAATGGCATCCAGAGCCTCCAATAGGGTGGTCCCAGATCCATTTCCCTCTTTCCGGGTAATCTTCCAACCCTTGAACCAAGTCATCTAAAGTAAAGACAAAGAAACCTAATGAAGATGCTGGTTGGAACCAATCTGCTGGGATGCCATTTTGCACAAATATAAATTATTCATTTTCACTGAAGAATTTTGTAACGCTCCATACTGGCACATGGAAACGTATAGGGCTGCATGATTTGGGGGAAAAAAATCTAATTGTGATTTTTCTGATTAAAGTTGCAACTGCAATTTAAAATGTGTTTTTTTTTAGTGCTTTCAAAATTAGCACATTCATTTTTAATTCATTTTTTTCAGTTACGCGTTAAAAATATTTAACACAGGGGTGGAGCTACAACTGCTGCTTCTATCTCTTTTTTCTTGACAAGAATTGCGTTTATTTAGATGCAGAACATCTTTATGGCCACATCAAATGGGAGACTTTTCAGACACGCACTCCAACTTCACCTTAGTGTCAGGCACTTGTCAAATGAGCGCGGAAAAGGTACAGGTGATAAGGGAGCTTCAGTAGAACAACAGTGATCTGCGGTCAGATGAGATGTTGTCAGGCCATATGTCAGTAAATACGACTGTCCTGTCAGCTGTTATACTGTGTTTCATATTAAAGTGCAAATGAAACTACGAGCATGCAGTGTCGTAGTTATATTGTCAGTTAAGTAATGAAGTTACCAAAAAGACGATAAAAGCTGCCTTAAAATGGTGCATATATGTAAATATTTGTTAAATATGAGTCACATTTAAGAACATGTCTTTGAAATTCAGTGGTTTCAAAACTGTCCTGGAGCAGCCCAGCACTGTCTCCATCATCTAACACACCCGATTCAACTTATCAGCTCATTAGTAGAGACTTTAAGACCTGTAGCATGCTAGAAAAGGTAAAGAGTTGTGAGAAAATATTTTTTTAGTGCTGTCAAAATTAGCACATTCATTTTTAATTCATTTTTTTCAGTGACGCACATATGAGTCACATTTAAGAACATGTCTTTGAAATTCAGTGGTTTCAAAACTGTCCTGGAGCAGCCCAGCACTGTCTCCATCATCTAACACACCCGATTCAACTTGTCAGCTCATTAGTAGAGACTTTAAGACCTGTAGCATGCTAGAAAAGGTAAAGAGTTGTGAGAAAATACGATGCGTGTCAGATCCATGTCATGTTCAGCAGCGGCAGCTCTTAAAGCAGCCAAAATAACCTAATAACCAGCTGCTGTGATGACTGTTAATCAAAGAACAAAAGAAAAAAAGAGGAAATCAATAACTTTTGTAGCTTTAAGGATTCGTCTATATTTAATTTAGAATTTAGTGTTTGATAACTTTATTCAATTCATGTATATTTCCTACTTGCTGAAGGGCACAGGTAAATATGACATTAATTGTAATGGGTTTATGTTAAGATTATTTTAAGTTCACTTAAATTAGAAGTTGTTTTTGAACAAGTCTTAAGTCTACTAAATGTTTAAATACATAGCTCTTAATTATACTGTAATGTTGAATGGCTAGTCAATAGTTAAATATTAGGAAAAAGAAAACAATTTCCTAGAGACATCAGTAGTATTCGTATCAGTGATATTCCCCTTCAGTCATAAAAAAAGATGCCATTAAACAAATATTAAAAATGTACTGTCTTTATGTTGTTTCTACATTAATTTGAAGATTGAATGTGAAATTATTGCAATCTAAAAGTATATTTAAAAGCTGTATATTTAAAAAAAATGTTAGGTGGAATTAATTGCAATTAATTTCAGAAATAAATGTGCTATCAATTTGTTATTTTTTTAATCAATTGACAGCACTAGTTTTTTAAGCTCCAAGTTTGCTGTAACATTACAATACTAGTGTTCATGGCTGTTTTCATTTCACAATTTTCAAACAAGCTTTTATTTTGGTGGAAAACCACAGGAAGCCCTTAAATCTTCTCTTCTGTTGTCAACAGATGGTTCATACAATTTTGGGAAGATGATTAGTGCATGTTGTGTTCCCAAATACAACCTAAACAGCATTTGTGTGGAGCAAAATTCACTGCAAACCAAACCACTGAGACACTAAGAACACTGAATCATGATGAACTGCATGTGTGTAAATGAACACAGTGCTGCATTTCACTCTGAAACACGCAGTGCATATATTGATTTAAATAAAACATTCCTTTTTGATTTGATAATTGCACTAAGCCATATCACAATTTCTGTTATATTTTCATTAATCGTGTAGCCTTAATGGAAACAATACTTTATTTCCCCTGTCATACTTACATTGGGACTGGCCTCAAGCATGTTATCTCCATTCCAGCCAGAGATGGGCACGAATGCTACTGTGTCAGGATTATAGCCAATCTTCTTGATGTAGGTGCTGACTTCCTTCACAATTTCCTCATAACGCTTCTGGCTGTAACTGGGTTCAGTGGAATCCATCTTGTTGACACCCACAATCAGCTGCTTTACACCCAATGTGTAGGCCAGAAGAGCATGCTCTCTGGTCTGACCGTTCTTCGAGATTCCAGCTTCAAACTCTCCGACACCTGCTGCTACAATCAGCACGGCGCAATCCGCCTGAGGTTCAGAAAAAAAACGTAAGGAATTCTTAATTTTTTTCTAAATAGCAGCTACTCAAATATATTTGTGTGCCTGTTAAGTTCCTAACCTGTGAGGTTCCAGTGATCATGTTTTTGATGAAGTCCCTGTGTCCTGGAGCATCAATGATGGTGACATAATATTTGCTGGTCTCAAACTTCCACAGGGAGATGTCAATGGTGATTCCTCTCTCTCTTTCTGCTTTAAGCTTGTCCAGCACCCAGGCGTACTTGAAAGAGCCTTTTCCCATCTAGGAGTGAGACACATATACATTCTATTATATAACCAGCTTGAAATAGTTTGTAATCATATATTAATTTAAATGTCGCCAATATCTCCATCATACCTCTGCAGCCTCTTTCTCAAACTTCTCAATTGTTCGCTTGTCAATCCCACCACACTTGTAGATGAGGTGGCCAGTCGTGGTGGACTTTCCGGAGTCCACATGGCCGATGACCACAATGTTGATGTGGAGCTTCTCCTTTCCCATGGCCGATTGCTTTATTTAAAGTGCCAATGTAACTGTAAAGCTTTACACAGACACCAACAGTCACTGTGCAAATTCTATAAAAGACAAATTACGTTAAACACATGTTCCCTTGCTAGAGGATGCTTTTTATCTAATTTTAAACCCACTAATTCCAGGATCTTAAGAAGTGGCCATTTAAACACAAGCACTGTTCGTCAGTAGATCCGATGATATAGTACCGGAATAGTACACTTCCAAATGAAAATTCTTGCATGTATTCACACCCATGTCTCCCCAAACCCGTATGACTTTTATTCTATGGAATATTATAGGAGAAATTTGAAGAATATTTTGGCCATTCTTTTCCACTGAATGAAAATTAATGGCTCAGGATGTAAGGCCTCAAAAAGGATGTAAAATCATATTGGACAAGAACGACCAGCACATTCTTCAAAAGTTCTCCTTTTGTGTTCTGCTAAAGAAAGTAAACCACGCAGGAAATCTGCTTAAACAATGACAGAAATCTAATTTTTTGGGAGTAATTCTCTCAGAATGACCTATGCAAATACTAGCTGAGCAATGTCTATGGCTCCGTGTGACTGCAGATTTTAAATGTCTCATCATTTGTTTATCACTCAGTGAACACCCAAAGAAATGCAGACAAAGAAATTTGTTTAACAAATATGGTATTCACTATGCCATCTTTTTTTCAACCTTCAGACCAGCAGTAAAGTTTATCCTTTCGGGCTGTTAAGGCTTCTAGTTCTGCCAATAAACTAGCAATGCTTTAACAGACTGGGCATGCCTTTCTTCATGCTTGGTACATCTTTGTCCTGCAGACCTCCATTTTGTAAAGATTTGCCTATTGATTTAAAAGACTGGCAGCCATTTGTGAGCCCTCATGTATCCAATATTTTCAAAAGAGAAACAATAAAGATATTGCAACAGCTGGTTAAGCTAGAATTCATATTCCATTCTAAGCTAGTGCATTAAGATTTGGCTGCATCATGAACCCAATGTCTATGATTATTGTATCAGCATCATTTTCAATGAGCTGTAAGGTGTACAAATGAGTAATTCCTCAGGGACAGAATTCAAAGACGTTCCTTAAAGCAAGAGCCGGACTGCCATTGGTGTAAGGAAGCTAATTCCCAGCTTAACCTGAGAGGTCAACAGAAGGGCTATTCTTGTTAAGGGTACCTACCTAACACAGACGCATTCTTTAAAAGGGCTCTACATTATTCCTGTGTCGCATCAGCCTCACATGACTTCAGAAAGCTATTCCTTTCGGTGTTAATTTGCTCAAAAACACTGCAATATTAGTCGTCTAGAATAGATCAGCAGGCGACGGAGGTCTTTCAGATGTCTAGGGGATTTAATAGTGCAATCCCTTCCCCTGCAGCTGCCGCCATGTTCTCCCATTCCCAGACTCTCTAGCGCAATGTCGAATACAAACATCAGTAAGGTCTTACAAGCGACAACTATTTAGAAAACATAAATATCGACAGAAGATCTTCATTTCTAATTACAGACTCGTTTGCTGGGTTTATTTTCGGAATACGCAGCTAAAGATGCGTGTGAATGTGCGGAACTGTACCTGCGCGTGTGCTCGGGATACTGGACCGGTGCTGAAGAGGCTGAGCGCGGCGCGTCTGATCTTCTTATAATACAGCCCGACGAACGCGACTGTGCATGCGCAGACGAGCGCGACATTGCTGCCTACATCAGTCACTGAGGATGCTTGAGGTCAGACGACTATTATTAAGAAACAGCTCAATAAAATGTAGAATTGACGGACGGGAAAGGAAATATGAGTTTACTCTGCGAACGCATGTGCTTTAAACCAACGTGTCAGGTGCACACAACCTGCTGCTGCTGCTGCGATGGTTTCAAAGGTGACGCAATTAATTATTCGACGAAAATGTTGGTCTCAAGCAGAATTTAAAATATAAGAGGTTCCAGCAGAATTTATAAATAAATAAATGCACGTCAAGAAAATAAATGACTGATAATTTTATTCGATATTTGACAGGCGTTGATGCATGTTTTGTAGCATCTTGGCATTGACAGATTTTGCAACATTTTATTTGATTTATTCATTTTGTTTCACTTAGTAGCTATTGCACAAAACAGAATGAAAAAGAAAATGTAAACATAAATCAGTTATAGTGTACAAAAAAAGTTTACAACACAACAAACAGACATGATTTAAACGATTATTCCTCTTACGGCTTGTTGCTTGAGCATGGGTAAGGCATGTTGTGCTAATCATGGGCCAACAATAAAGCATATTTCATTGGCACGTTATTCGCAAAATATTCCAATTCCTTAACGATTAGTTTATTAGAGTTGAGGAAAATGCAATTTTGTATTAAGTTTTTGTTGCCAAACGATGAGATTATTTCAGTTTTCAACAGAACGGATTTAGCAAATCAGAAATAAAACTGATATAGTTCTTACTACTGCGTTACAGCGACACTGTAGCCTTATACTCCAAAACAATTCACAAGTTAATTTGCGGGTTTTTAAGCGAGTCAGATTAATTCAGTAACTGTTGATTCACACAGGGGTTCATTCACTAAACAGACTCGGCTCACAAGAGTGAATTATACTACAGTGGTCGTGTGATCAAAACTTTTACCTCCTTACCACGACTGGATGTACCATAAAGATACGTTTATTATTCCCTTCATTATCGCACCTTTGTTTAAAAAATAAATTAAAATACAATAAAAAAATATTGTCTGAAAAACTACTGACATGTATAACAAATACAGATATTCCCAATAAAAAATACCAAAAATCATGGTGTTTGTTGGTATGCTTAAAAAACAACAACATTGGATTGTGCAATATTCATTAGTTTGCACACCATATGTAACTACTGCTAAGATCTCTATAGAATTTACAATAGGTTCATCCTTTCGGCCTTTTGGAAATGGCTAATGGTTGACGTGTTTCATTGGATGTGTATTCTCTGGACAGCCCAAGGCTGGAGTGTGCCCTTGCCAAAAATTGTGAAGAAAACAGCTCCAAATATATTGATTGCTGCAGAGATGTAGAAGACAATTTGCCACTCTGGAATGGTGTTCTAGATAAAAACAAAATATTTAAGTATTTATTACTTCACAAATGTGAGAAAAAAAAGAATTTCTCTTGAAAATAAGCATTTAATGTTTGCATTTATGCATAACAAACATATGACTGTCCACACTTCAGTGACAGGCGTAGTATTAAAATAAATAAATTACTCTCTTACAGCACCTTTCTTCATTTTTTTGCAGCACATGAAACAATGTAATGCAGTCTTTACATAAAGATCAAATATTTTACATTTATATTTAAATGCAATAAATTATAACTTACAGATTTGGTCAGAGATCTTGCTATTACAGGACCCACCATGCCAGGTATAGTGGCAAATGAGTTTGTGATCCCAAGCAATATCCCAGCATATCTGTGAAGAAAAAAAGAAAAGAAAACATTTGATAAATTTATATATGAAAGTAAAGGGGTTTCATGCATGCACAGTCCTAAATCATAAAACTTGTATGATTGCCAATAAAAAGCCTTGTCTTACGAGGGAGCAATGTCCAAATAGAATTTCTCTTGAAAATAAGCATTTAATGTTTGCATTTATGCATAACAAACATATGACTGTCCACACTTCAGTGACAGGCGTAGTATTAAAATAAATAAATTACTCTCTTACAGCACCTTTCTTCATTTTTTTGCAGCACATGAAACAATGTAATGCAGTCTTTACATAAAGATAAAATATTTTACATTTATATTTAAATGCAATAAATTATAACTTACAGATTTGGTCAGAGATCTTGCTATTACAGGACCCACCATGCCAGGTATAGTGGCAAATGAGTTTGTGATCCCAAGCAATATCCCAGCATATCTGTGAAGAAAAAAAGAAAAGAAAACATTTGATAAATTTATATATGAAAGTAAAGGGGTTTCATGCATGCACAGTCCTAAATCATAAAACTTGTATGATTGCCAATAAAAAGCCTTGTCTTACGAGGGAGCAATGTCCAAATGGTTGATGTTAAATCCAGAGGCTGAAACGCCCCCTAGAGAGGAAGAGAGGGTGAGGAAGGCTATAGCCAAGACAAAGTTACAGCCAGTGTAGCCAGCAGCCACGAGGAAGACGGCTGGTCCCACCATTCCTGGACACATTCAAAACAGACACACTGATTTACTCAAAGCATTAACAGACTTCACACCACCAGTTCAATCATCCCATCAATATTTTTTTCAAATGAGCACTGTTCGGCATTAAAACTAAGTAGAAAGAATTCTTTACCTACTATAGTGAATGCCTTACGCACAATTACAGTGCGGATAAGATATTTCTCTCTCAGGAGGTCTGCCAGCTGTCCACCCAGCAAAGCCAGCAACCAACAACCAAGGTAGGGCAAAGCCGAGAGCATTCCATTCTGAGAATGACACTGAGTTCACACACTAAACGGCAAAGGGGCCTTATGATGAGAGTCAATGATCATTCTCAGATGACCTATTTGTATATTAAACACACTACTATTCAAAAGTTTGTGGTAGGTACTTTCTTTTTAAAGAAATGAATACTTTTATTTAGCAATGATCCATCAAACTGATCAAAAGTGACAGTGAGGATAATGTTAGAAAAGATTTTTATTTAAAATGCGTGTTGTTCTTTTGAACTTTCTATTCACCAAAGAGTTTCCACAAAAAAATGTTGAACTACAAATCAGCATATTAGAATGATTTCTGAAAGATCATGTGCTGCTGAAAATTCAGCTTTGCTATCACAGGAATAAATTATGTTTTAAAATATATTAAAACAGAAAATAATTGTTTTATACTGTAATACTTTTTAGAATGTTGAATATGACTGTTTTTACTGTATTTTGATCAAATAAATGCAGTCTTGGCAAGCATAAGATATTTCTTTCATATAGATAGATAGATAGATATGAACTCTTACCAACCTCTACATGGAAAACACAATTTTTATTTTGGAAGATGAAGATAAGTCAAAGTAAAAAAGATAATAAATATCACAAATGCATAATAATCTTCATCATTAGCTTACAAAGCATTCAAAACATTAAAATAAACTGGGTAAAAATACAAATTCTGATCATTAAAAAACAAAAGATGTGTCAGCCCTGCTTTGCACTCACCTGCTGGATGCTGAATCCGAGTATATCATTCATGTAGGTGGGTAAGAGAGTAAGCAGAGTGTAAAATGTCCAGTTGTAAGAGAAGTGTGCCACAACTATGGCCCATAATGGCAAAGACTTGAGAATTGATGTCCATGGGATGTAATCTGTGGTTGGGGACAGCTGCAGCAGGAAATGGCACATTTTAACACAAACAAACAATTAACGAGTCAAACATTATTTGGTTTGTGAAAAAAAAAAATCAACTTAAAGACAGACACTGTATGATATCACTGTAACGTTGCCTACTTCATTTTTTAAAGATGCCATTATGTAGGTCTTCTCATCTGCTGATATCCTTTTGTGTAAGCTGGGACTGTTACTGACAAAGTAAGCCCAAAGGACAAACCAAAGAAGTCCAACAGCTCCTATGAGTTGTAAACAAACCAAAATAAAGTGCATTTAGAGTGTACTAAGAGGAAAGTCTGTGAAAGCATCTTTAGCCTTACATTTTATGCTGCACACAGTTCACCTTTAAATGCGTAGTATAATGAAACTTACCAAATATATAAAAGACATAAGTCCAGTCTAGGTAAAAACATATCTGGCCAGACAGAGGAAGGGCTACTACAGTTCCCAGCTGAGCACCTGTAAGCGGAAAGGGAAAAAAAAGAAATAATAGTACAAATACACAAAAACTTGAGTAGATTGTTATAAATCAAACCAGGGCACCTGTGTAAGAGATAGTGAGTAGTCGACTTCTCTCCAGAGGTGGTGCCCATGATGCCCACATCGCATGCATAGCAGGATATGACACTCCCTGAAAGCACAAGAATAACCTTTTAAGACTTTTATTTTCCTAAATGAATAACACCTATATCATCTAAGGCAACATTGAAACATTGACTTGCAAACTACAAGAACAGAAAGTACTAAATCCATATGGTAGGTAATGAGTTTTGAGGTTACCTCCCCAATGCCTTCCAACACCCTGACAGCGATGAGGTAACCAGCTCCCAGATCAGTGGCTACTGGAGTCAGCAGGGTGAAGATCACAGTGCAAAGAATGCCGATACCAAAGAGCCACTTGGCACCATACTTACGTGCCAAGTAGCCACCTGGTATCTGAGTAAGTATGTATCCGTAGAAAAAAGAGCCCAGGATCCAGCCCTGAGTCTCTGAATCCCAGTCATACACACTGGCCTGTCGAGAAATTGAACTAAATATGTAACCCTGGAGCACAAAACCAGTCTTAAGTCGCTGGGGTATATAGCCAAATAGCAATAGCCAAAAAAACATTGTATGGGTCAAAATTATAGATTTTTCTTTTATGCCAAAAATCATTAGGATATGAAGTAAAGATCATGTTCCATGAAGATATTTTGTAAATTTCCAACCATAAATATATAAAAACTTTTTTTGTGATTAGTAATATACATTGCTAAGAACTTCATTCAGACAACTTTAAAGGCGATTTTCTCAGTATTTTGATTTTTTTTGCACCCTCAGATTCCAGATTTTCAAATAGCTGCATCTCGGCCAAATATTATCCTATCCTAACAAACCATACATCAATGGAAAGCTTATTTATTCAGCTTTCAGATATATAATTGACCCTTATGACTGGTTTTATGGTCACACATGATAATGCTTCTGAAATCTCATGCTTGGGCCTAAATTATTCAAAATGCGCACTATGACTGTACATTAAAAAAACTGTAAAAACTCTTTTCATTTCAAAATGAGTTTGAGAAATATGTGACATTGTTAAAAAAAAGTATTTATTTAAATTTAATTTTTTTTTAAATAAATTGAAAGAAATTTAACTTACTTTGATTAATTATATGGAAATGCATAAAAATGCAAAATATTGATAAAAAAAACAAAAAACTTATAAAACAAGAGGAGTTTGCATATGTAATATGTGAGACAATAAGTAGATGCTCTTACAGTGTGATTGTGTTTGGGCACTGGGATGCTATGATGAGGGCAGACAGAGGAACTGTTGTTGACACTGGACCTGTTTTTCAGCATGTCCACCATTGCCACACTAAGGTTCACCCTGAGGGCATATGCCACAAAGAAGCCATAACAGGACAAAAAGGCCAAGCCGTATCGTGATGAGCAGCAAGCAGGAGCTGGAAGAACAAACAGAAGATATCCTTGTCAAACCGAATTAAAGGATTCTCCCAAAATGGCTGTCATCATTTACTCACACTCATGTTGTTCCAAACTTTTAGGACTTTTTGTAACCGAGCTGTAAATGCGAATTGTCAATTTAATGTGGTGAGATAAAAAAAAACCTTTCACAGCATGCCACACCCAAAACATGCAGTGCGACCAGTGTACTCTTAATTACGAGAAAAAGACACTCTTCCAGACTGAATCATTCACAAAGAAGCACGATCTTACAGGTTTGAATCAGTCTGCTGAATTGTTCACACACTGAATTAGCTCCTGAATCTTTTTATAACCTTTAAACCCTTGTGCGCTCCTCATTTGGAAGTCACACTCATGGTCTTCGCGGTCAAAAGTGACATTTAACTTTTTTTTTCTTCAGTAAAATCAATTAATATATTTTTGTTCAATAATATTTTTTCTTTTGTATTTTAAGAGAATGTGATGGTACTAATTAATATGTATGCACTAATTATGATACATTTTTGCCATTGAAAATAGTACAACATTTTTTTTTCAAATTTTTTCAAATTATTTTTCAATTAATGCAGTATTTCAGATTAAAATAGAGACTAGGCCTTCAAAATCCAATTTTTGAAGGCAGAATAGCACCTCCTGGTGAGAGCAAAAAAAAGAAGAAAAACCTGTAATTTCATGGTGTAACCAATAGATTTCTGTATAGGACTCTATAGAGATGCTTGTGAATTGTGAGGCTTGGGATTATAGTTGTTTTTATACATAATTGTTTACTTTTATTAGGTTGTGGATTTAAATGTATATTAAGGCATTCTCAAAGACTACTTTTTGTCAAGGTTTATTATTTTTTGTTGTTTTAAATGTTGATTTGAAGTGTAGGTTTTTGCATTATTATTACTATATTCAAACCTGAACACAGAAAGCATTTTTATAAACAAAACATTAAAATTCTATAAAAATGTAACAAAAATGAACAGGAATGCTTTATCAGAGCTTAATCCTTCTGGGTCTGATCTGATTTTAACCTCTTATTTCAGTCTTCTGACTCATTTAGGCTATTTGGTTATAGCCATACCAATTCATTTGAGTATGTATAATTCTGTATGTGTGTGAGTGGATGTATCTGTTTTACACTCTTGATGTTTTAGAGTGTAACCCCTTCCTTGCTGTCCACTTGTTTACTGCATTGTAGTTGAATTATTGATTTTATTTGACATAGTTGCAGTGTTACAGTCACACCAATTCATAGGTGTGTGTACAAGTGTGTGTCCGCATGTGTGTGAGTTGGTGTGTTGATTTTGCACTCTAGATGTTTTAGAGTTTCACCCCTTCATTGCTGTGCAATTTTGTTCTGCATTGTGGGGGATTTGTAGATTGTACACACAAAAATTTTCTGTATTTTCAATTTTTTTTCCCCCATTTCCCATTCATTTCCTATGGTCAGTCATTTTTGATCGAAGACCATGTGTGAGACTATTTTTTTTACGACCACTTAGCATTTTCGAATCATGTCCTCAATTTTTTTTGTGTGTGCACATACCAAGTGCCATAAAAGTCACCAAGTTCCGATAGATTCCTAAATCTGTATCATTACTGACACATTGTTCACAAAACATGTATTACATTTTTAAATAATAATAATAAATAAATAATTTTGTAACAAAAGATTAAGACATCTGAAATTAACATATATTGATTTTACAGTTATAACTAGAGTTACTATAGTATAGTATCAGGAGGAAACAAGTTATGACAGTATATTTTTAGGGCAGCTACCTGCATGACCAATGCTCTTCCTCCTTCATGTGCCTGGATGTTTTGAAAAAGCTCTTGAATTATTCATGTAGACTGCATCAAATGCTGCGTCAATTATATCACTGACTCAACTAAAGAGATGAAGTCTGCACTTTTGGGATGATTGAATAACTGAGACATCTTTTGAATACTATAAACCAATAAGGAATTTCTCAACACGAGCTGTTCTAGCAAGTTTACAATGCAGCTGAACATTGTCAGTTAAGCACAACTATTACAACTTCATTTTCAAATGTATTGTTACCAGTGTTGGGGGTAACGCATTACAAGTAACGCGAGTTACGTAATCAGATTACTTTTTTCAAGTAACTAGTAAAGTAACGCATTACTTTTTTAATTTACAAGTAAATATGAGTTACTTTTTTCAAAAAAGTAACCCCAGTTACTTTGTTTTCCCATTTATTGACTGACAAGTCTCCCATATTGGGAGAAATCGGAAGTGCAGAGTTGTGTGTGCTGTGTGAACATGATGCTACTGTACTTCTAGACTAAATGTAAATGTGCATTAATTCATCCCACTCACAAAAAACATATTTAGCATTCGACAAAATGAATTAAAACAGTGAAAAGCAAACTCAGAATATGAAGCAAACCTGCAATAATTAAATATGTTAAATAACACAAATGTATCTAATCCCATTTTATTAACCAATGTCTTTGCTGCTGACCTTTGATGATCCAGTTCAACCGTACTAATAAGCAAAAATGACTTTAGATAAACTAACAATTGTGCTTCATTGTTTTTTTTATTGCTGAAGAGTGTTGAACCTTCTTCTCCTGTGTTCTACTGTACAGACGTGAATTTACTTTTGCTTCAGCCTGAGGTTTATTTAGGGCTGGACAATAATTCAATATCAATATGTATCGCGATATAATTTTTTTCAATACCGGTGATATGATTTTTAAACACATTTCCGATATTTCGATATACATTACCGGTGTTTCCCATACATTGATGTATTTGTGGCGTTTGACTTCGTTGAATAAACATGAGCACTGCACGTTTCAAAATCAAAACACGTGCGGGTGTTTTAAATGAATGTATCTCTGAAGGGAACCGACTGTCTTCAGAAAAGTTTCGATGACATTTTATTTTTATCTGATAAAGTAGCGTTCATGAGCGGATCTGCTTTGTTTACAGCCGTTACTGGAGAAACCGCAAGTTCTACCGCTCTCAAAGCGCCTCCTGCTGGCAGACAAGCAGTTGATCAAAAGTGAAAAGACATTTATAATGCTACAAAAGATTTCTATTTCAGATAAATGCTGTTCTTCTGAACTTTCTATTCATCAAAGAAACCTGAAAACAATTCTACTCGGTTGTTTTCAACATAATAATCAATTATTTTTGAGCAGCAAATCAGAATGATTTCTGAAGGATCATGTGACTGGAGTAATGATGCTAAAAAACATAGCTTTGAAATCACAGGAATAAATTGCATTTTAAAATATTTCCAAACAGAAAAGAGTTATTTTAAATAGTAAAAATATTTCAAAATGTTACTGTTTTTGCTGTATTTTGGATCAAATAAATGCAGGCTTGGTGAGCAGAAGAGAATTCTTTTGACTAGTATGTTAGAAGATATTAATAATTAATAAGGTGAGTCTGAGATGTTTATTTGACAGTGATTTCACATTTCTTGTTTGTATGAAGGCTAAATACAAATAAAAGGCGAACATTAATTTATTTGTGCTGTTTTTTTTCTCTAAAGTATTATATGGTTTTATATGAGGTGTCATAGACTTGGCAAATTCATTTTTCATAAGTTTGTATGCTCAGACATCTGTTGTGGGCGTTCTTGGCAGTTTTTACAAGGCTTTTTAAAATAGTGTTCATATCGATATCGGAATGATATCGTATCCACCGAAATTAAGAAATATATCGTGATATAAATTTTGGCCATATCGTCCAGCCCTAGGTTTATTCATTACACTTTTTGGTGTGAAAGGGCTCTTACATTTGCTATAAATACAACTTATTATATTAAAAACAATCAAGCCCTGCTCATATTTAAAAAGTAACGCAAAAGTAATGTAACGCATTACTTTCCATAAAAAGTAACCAAGTAACGTAATTAGTTACCTTTTTAGGGAGTAACGCAATACTGTAATGCATTACTTTTAAAAGTAACTTTCCCCAACACTGATTATTACTTTGTAAGTACTAATATTATAGCACGGATGGTACCAGCGGAATTTTTACGTGACATGTTGTAAAACTGCATAAATACATAAAAGGCATTCATAGTTAATGCCCGGCTACCTTTCTGAATGTCTCCGGTGTCTTTCCGGCGTAGTAAAGGCTGGACATGATCTTCAGTTTCTGAGTCTGACGCTGAATGCTCCATCATCTTCAGCGGCTGCTCTCCTCTCCGTCCGTCTGACCAGAAACACAACAACACAACAACACAACAAACACACTCTGAATGCGGAACCCGGGTTTCACCGTCAGCAATAATACATACCATAATAAAAGTCCCATGGTCACCAGCAGACCTCTACTGATTGTAGAGGTAAAAAAAAATTATATAATTCTCTTCTGCTCACCAAGCCTGCATTTATTTGATCCAAAATACAACAAAAGCTATAATATGGTGAAATATTTTTACTATTTAAAATAACTGCGTTCAATTTGAATATATTTTATAATGTAATTTATTCCTGTGATTTCAAAGCATCATTACTCCAGCCTTCAGTGTCACATGCTCCTTCAGAAATCATTCTAATATTCTGATTTGCTGCTCAAAAAACATTTATTTATGTTTTTTATTAATAAATTAATACTTTATTAATCATTTATATAATTATAAATTATAGAAATTAATACTTGTATTTAGCAAGGATGCTTTAAATTGATCAAAAGTGATGATAAAGACATTTATAATGTCACAAAAGATTTCTATTTCAGATAAATGCTGTTCTTCTGAACTTTCTATTCATCAAAGAAACCTGAAAAAAATCTACTCTGCTGTTTTCAACATAATATTAATAATAATAATAATAATATTTGTTTTTGAATATGATCAAATATTCAGAATATTAGAATGATTTCTGAAGGATCATGTGACCCTGAAGACTGGAGCAATGATGCTAAACAAATCAGCTTTGAAATCACAGGAATACATTACATTTTCAAATATATTCAAATCGAAAGCAGTTATTTTAAATAGTAAAAATATTTCACCATATTATAGCTTTTGATATTTTGGATCAAATAAATGCAGGCTTGGTGAGCAGAAGAGAATTCTTTAAAAAAAAAAAAAACATAAAAAAGTTTACTGTTCAAAAACCTTTGACAGGTAGTGTACTGTATGTATAAAATATTTCCCATGAAATATTTATTGATGTGGCCTTTTTATATTAAACTATGATTGCTCAAGGTTTAATCATTGACAGACTGTTGTTTTTAAGGATCCATTACCAAAAAGATTTTGTGCTTTTTCTAGTTTGTGAGCTTTATATATTATTGCAATAATTATCCACTAAGAGGGGCTAAAGTATTACAGCAGTCCATGCTTTAAGGAAATTCAAATCTGGTCTAAATCAGCAGGATTCAGCTCTCTTTTAAGATCTTCATTAGTATAATTATGTATTCAATTTTTCACAGTGAACTTTTAAATGTTACATTTTACTGTAAAGTCAAAACATGCATTATCTAAATGTGTTAGAAAATGTAAGACATTCTTTCTTCAATTTTTATAATTTTTTTTAATGTAAAGCTGCTTTGAAATAAGGTCCATTTTGAAAAGTGTTATAAATAAAACTAACATTCTAACATTCTTGTTCTATCTCTCTCTCACACACACACACACACACACACACACAGTAATAATCCTCACTTATGGAAGACAGTGAGAAAACAGTCAGAGGAGCCTTCTAATGATTTCAATTTATGTGGAATCAGTAATGTGGGAAGTACAAGCCCTCATGGCAATGAAGTGGAAACTATTTACCTATACCTAATGTAGAAAAGGCTAAGACTTGTGGAAGCTCGTAACAAAAGATGACAGAGATGATAAATGTTCAACATTAATTTATTGTGTGCAAAGAGTACATTAAAAAAGGCAAATATGAAGAACTGACTAAAGAATGAGGATGAGCTTTTCTCCAAATGAATACACAATATTTTTCAAATCTGTGAAAATTCCTGCACAGATTGCATATAAATATGTATACATTTAACAGACTTAAAATATCTTGTTAAAATACATTTCACGACTTGAAACATATAGTTTGTGTTTCAGATGTGACTAGTGTTTCTATATCATCGTTACATGGAATTAGAGCATTTCAGCACCCTGGTCTCTTAAAAACAAAAAAACAATGCCCCGAGTTTACATCAAAACATGCAAACATATAGTACATTAGTAGAACATGAAATACTTGGTATGTTATTGCAGAGGTTATGAGTATAGTTATGAATGTTAAAGAACTATTCTCCTCGATGTTACTCATCCATCTCGGTATTCCCTGATAGCACTTTACAGTGACACAAACACCATTTCTGTTCTTTGATATTTTCTACCAATGACCAACAGCCATGTCCTTTTTTCATATTCTTTCATACTTTACACAGATCTTTCCATTTATCCTACTTGCCAAAAGCCCCTTTTCCAAAACCAAAATCAGTACAACAGAGATGCAGATTACCACAAGCTCTAAATGTTTAGCTTGTCAGTAGTAGTACAGTATTTTAGAACTAAACCTCACCATTTCTATCTTCTCCATTACTACTAATGACTTTAACAAAACGTAATGATCATAATTCATACAAAAGCATTATGATAAAACATCACTGGCAACAATGCCTGGTTCTTTAATAGGTCTTATCACAGAGATACATGCAATATTATAACAATAAATCATATATAAACAGAATGCAGTTTACCAGCAACTGCCAAAAAAACAATTGTCCACAATGTCCTTAGGGACAGAGATGTCCATGTTTACGAATGCTGAAGGAATGAACTTTCTAAAAGTCAATGCAGTCATACGAAAAAATGCCACAGTCTCTCAGCCTGGGGAGGAATAGGAGAGGTATGTAGAGCTTTGGGAAGAGGAAGGCACAATTTTGGAGCATATTTAATATGGAACGTGCAAAGCCTACCCATAAACACTAAAATGCTGCTGTTTCTCTGCTAACCTGAATGTGTTTGAACATTCATGAAGAAATAAACAGGCATACTGTAACATTTGCAGTTTGGGTACAGCTATTCTCTCGTGATGGTCTCGTGCCACTTCCCAAAACGTTTTGAAAATAGTGAAGACGCAGCATAAAAACCGCTGCATCTGTCAGACACATCCTTCCTCCCCTATTTCCCTCTAAGCACATTTTCCGCATCCCTCCCTTTTTCAAAACAATGCAGATGTTAGCAGTGTACCTAAGGAAGGAGATGAATAAATGTGGCTGAGAAGGACCCAATGGAAACTAGGGTTGCTCTCTCAGTTGGGTGCAGTGTCGTCGTTGAGTTGGTCTGAAGGGACAGTAAGGTTTTGGATTTGGCGGTACACAAAGAAGAAGAGTTGTGGCTGTGGGCGGCTGTGCAGTTCGGCCTTGATCCTCTGCGGGTGATTGTCCGGGGCCAGCTGCTGTGTGGTTTCATCCATCAAGAGGAAAAGCGCGTAGTTCTCCGGGTCCGAAATTTTAAACTTGTCTGCGCATTTCTGACACACATCCTCCGTTGTGGAGTAAGGTTGCACCTGAAGTGTTTTGGCTGTACAGCCACTGCTTGCATCTTGCAGTGCAACCCGCAAGTAGTTCTGAATATAGACAAGAAGAAATCTAGGTGTAAATCCCAATATATTTCAAGCTCGTTTAAGAACACATATTTATGTTCCTAAACTTCTATTGTTTCAAGGAAGAAAAGGGAGAATATAACTTATATGACCATGTCTAATAAGGAATTGACCTGGAAATCATCCACAGATGGTGTGGTACGCTGGGTTGTGCGTCTACGGTGCCACTGGTGCAGCGTGTTACGGGTTTCAGAGCTCAGCACACGAGCTGCCTGGTCCTCCTGGAAGTTCTTGATTAGAGACATTGCCCCATATGCACTGGTCAGGTAATAGCCTCCTACAATCAGATAAAAAAAAAAACCGGAACATTAAAAAAGTTTGATACCCAATGAAATGAATAATTAATAATAACTTCAGCAGTTATTGCAGTAGCCCAATGACTGTGACGGATATGCGGAACCCACTGGGGTCTTCTAATGTACCTTCTCCATGAAGCAGTGATGGGTCCAGTAACTCCATCATGTACTCTATTTCAGCGTCCAGTTGTGGCATGTCACACTGGGCCATCACATACGTCAGCATGGGCAGGAAGTCATCTGCCCCGTACATCCTCCCTACCATTGTTACAACAAAAATTTAAATCATGAATTGAAATCAAATTATGCAGAAGTATTAGGATAATTTTGTGTGCAACCACACTCATGGATTTCACACAGATGCATCACGCTCGTGTACCTGAGTTGCTCTCCATTATGGTGTAGATAAGCTTGCACACACTGAGAAGCAGAGACACTTTCTTCTCAGGTGAGTACATCTTGCACATGTTGTGGAACTTGTGGCGAATCTTCTCTATGGCAACAGGGTCAGGGGGCAGAGCTCCATCCACACCCATCTCCTGGGGCTGCTTGGCTTTGGCCAAAACCAGATTCTCTTTCAGCTGCTGCCAAGTCCCACTGCTCACCTGGAAGTCCCGCAAGGCGGCCTCTATCACAGGCTTTAGGGGCTTCAGCACACACTTGTACATGGCTTTCTCCATCACCTGATCTATGGAGGAAAAAGACGTTATATAATAATCATATAGAAATAGAAATAATTAGAATAACTGCATATAAATATGTAACAGGTCAAAGCTAAATGCATTTTTTTTATTATGAGTAAATATTGTATAAAACAGAAATTCTCATTTGTTCACATTTATTTGTTCAAAGATAAAAGTAAAAATAAGCAATATTGTGAAACATCACAGTTTAATATAAATATTGTTTTCTAATTTAATATATTTTAGAAGGTTATTTATTCATGTGATGGCAAAGCTGAATTCTCAGCAGCCATTAGTCCAGTCTTCAGTGTCATATGATCCCTCCGAAATCATTCTAATTCTTGCTATAAAAGTATTTTCAAAATTTGTAAAAAATATATTATTTTTTTTAAGTACTTCCAATTAAAATTGCTATAAAATTATTTTCTCCAGCAAGGATCCAGAAATCCTACTCACTAATTTATATAAACTTGACAATCATGTTATCCAGCATGATTTAAAAAAAATATCCAAATGACTTTTTTTATAGCCATTACATCACATATGTTTTGGAATTTGTTTTGGTGCATTCTGAAAATAGTAACGATTGAAGGCAAAGGAACAGAAGAAAAAAAATTGGAACATAAAATCCCTCCAAAAAAGTGAACAAAATGACTGTTGGCAAG